TCGTCCACGCAATATTAAGATAAAAAAGTAGCCTATAATATGCCCGTCAATAAATCCGGTCGAAATTGGCCCAGCCGTTTCGCAAATTTCCCGGAACAAACGCGGCTTGCAGACAGTCAGACAGGCAAAAAATGTTTAAATGCGATTTTCGTTATCAGCACCGCAAAGACATCATCTTCCCGAAATCACGAAATTTCCTTTTGGTATTACAAACAGACACTCCAATTTTATTATTTGTATAAATAAATATTAATTAACTGAATCATATGTAATCGTATTAATTATTTGATAACGTAAAGACTGAAAAACAGGACTATTTCCACTGGTACGTTACTGATTCCAAAATAACAGCCGCCCAGTGGAATAAACGTCTACGGTGACATTAAATTACTGGTTGGAATGTTGCCAAAAAAATTTACTCATCTTAATTAATAACGATTTTAGTAGTTTCTTGTTATATAATTCAAAGATAGCATTCTTCATTTGTGATTCAAATATTCACTTACCTGGTGACAAAATGCCGTAAACAAAAGCCTACCGTATTTTCCAGAAAGAATATCTTAATCTAGACAGAGAAGTTTTATTGGACAATTCAGAGTTTTGATTAAATTCTCAGAAATAATACGTTGCGTGGTACAGGGGATGAAATTGATGTGTTTTTGTTTTATTTATAATTTTGGACACATCAATACTATTATAATAAAGCGTAAACACACACTTCTTTGTTGCCTAAGATGTCAGCAATAATAGCATATTTTTGAATGATTCTTTTTGTAATAAAAAGCCCCACACTTACGTCATGCTTTAGGCTATATATTTTTACGCCATTAAACATAGGGGGTTAATATTTTGGATAAAAACCCTAATGTTGGAAAGAGACCATAAGTTGCTGCCAACATCAAGAAAGCAAAATTTCCATAGTTAGGTAATTGGTATTTTGACATTTGCAATTGATTATTTGTCACATGTAAACAAAAAAATAGAATTTCACAATTTTATGCAGCTGTAGTCGCAGGGGAACAACTAGTTATGGTATACGAAATGTCTCCAGTGTAAATCTTAAACCTTACAACTCCTTTAAGCTAAGCCATATCTTGCAATGACTGTACAAAGATAACATAAATTGCAAGTGTAAAATGTCGGGCTTTGTTTGTTACAAAAGGATGTGAAATTTTCCAAGCATTCATGTGGCAAGTTTATAACGAAATTTCGTAACGAGTGGCATTATAGTTGCGGTATTATCGTTTATAACTAATTATATTTTTATTAAATAAATACTATAGTAGTTTTTTATGCACCTTTCGCATCGATAATTGCTTAAAAATTTGTAACGTAGCCTTTACAAAAAAACTAAACAAGATTTTACTGGCGACTTCGAACGCGCCGATTAAAAGAAATTGGAGGCAATGCATCTGCAATTGCGGCTGTCTATTGGCAGCAGTCGTTTTTCATTTTCGGCGAATGTAGGTTGCTCGTTTACCACTTTATGATATAAAAAAAGGAATATCGAATATTTTAGTGATACAATAGTTTTGGAACGTTGAAAAAATTATTGAAATCGATGCAGTACATGCAAAAATACAAATCTTTCCTTTTTTAAACATTAGTAAAGATTACAAACCTTAGAAACATGAAATTACCAAATTAATTATGTGACATTTTTCAGCGATCTTTAAAAAAGAAAGGAGGAGGTTCTTTTTCCTCTAAGGTAAGAAAGACACGAGAAATGCGACTTTTGCATTAAAGAAGCAAATTAATATTCGTCGGATGCGGAAACTCGTGTTTTCTGTGACCTCAATAGTAATAGCTTTTCATGAAACATGCCTGTCACGTACAACTCATTTTTTATTTTTACACAGATGTCGAAATACAAAAAGTGACAAGAACATAAAACAATATTTTTAACTGAAACTCAAATAAGTACACTGTACTTTCCATTGTATTTTTTCACAATGTCTTAAAAATATTTTTAGTTGGTCAATAATTTGTTACTAGTAGTGATTTTTTAAAACTTCATTTAGTCGTCCTTTTTTAAAGTATCAAAACAGTTTTCTGAATAAACCCTTAATTATTTAGTAAAGCAGTTTTCTCAACATTTTTGATATTCATTTTAATATATTACTCAAATTCATTGAAAGTATAGACTGTTTCGAAATACTCCGTTTTACTATGACACATCTAGTAAAAGTATATCCGTGTAAATTAGTACATGTATCATAACGTGGGGAATATTTGTTGACAAGGCGTTACGGCCTAAATTAATTATAGGGTAGACAGCAACCTTGATGAAAGCAAGACCTTTTCCTATTAAGACGATTATTTAATACTTCGAGAAAATATGATTATTTCTATCTGTTTATTCTTAGAAATAAAATCATTTCTTTCTAAGAGTATGATTATGATATATTTACCGTTAGCATTTTTATTCAGTGCGTTGTTGAGTGTAGTAAATATGTATCTTAGTCTATTTTTTCTCAATTAATTTTTCTCTTTACCAATTTCATAGAGATTTCCACCACTTATGAAGCGAATTGTGTCAAAGATGAAAGGTTTGTTCGTGTTAACGTAGCTTTCCGCCACAAAGACTGTCTGCGTTTGAAGCTTACCAACTGACTGCCATTCAAATTGGAGTGTTCCATTCTGTTAACGCAGTGTGTAAAGATACGCATTGTCCAACTGGACAATTCCATTGTACTTTGAGGGCGAGGCTGGTAGCTATGTTATGTTGTGCTGTTCTATGTTGTGTTATGTTATGTTGCTGATATTCTAAATTCAAATTCATTATTATTTTATTTTAGAGAACAGGAATCTATTGTAGTGTTGTCCTGTGCTGTGCTGTCCTGCGCTGTGCTGTCTGGTAGTTTCGTGTTTTTAAAAATAGAATCTCGTCTAAAACAAAATCGAAATTATTGAATAAAAAGTACATTGATTTTTAGGTTGAAGATATATTAAATGAGGAATGTTTTAAAATGTGCGCTATTTCCTAAAGTCTTTGTTATTTCTTTCCGATGTCTCGGTTCATAGGACGCGTTCACAATATCGCTGTAGGATTCCTAAGGCCGGTCACGTCTCAACTGAAGCTGTACTACAGTCATCTCTTAGGAATTCCAACCGTTTTCATCTACAACTATTGATTAGAAGCTACTGTGGTAATATTAGGATAAGAGAAGTAAAGAATTTGTGTAGAGCTCTGTGTTAATGTCTAAACAGTTGTAATCATATTTCATACTAATTATAAATGCGCAAGTTTATACGGATGGAAGGATATTAGAGTTTGTAGCCTAAACGGATGAACGGATTTCGATGAAATTTGGTATAGAAATCAGGGATGTTGCGAATATTCGCATCCGCATCCGCAAATGCGGAACTTCCGCATAGATTTGGACATCTGCATCTGCATCCGCATCCGCATTTAATCAGTGCGGATGTTCATGCGGATGCGAATATCATGCAAGTAGCCGGGCAGTGTTCCTAGCGAACAATTATTTAGTAGCCCGGGTTTAATTTATGAACCTCTGCGTAATCGCCTTGAACCAGAAAACGCGGCAATACACCATTAAGTATAATGCTCCTATTTTAAAATTTAATTACTAATTTGCCAATAGGTGTTTAATATATAATAATGTTTGATTAATTACAATAAAAATATTAATAATTATGTCATCATTGTTTTAATTCTTCATTAATATACTTTAGTTACATAATAAATGCTGAAATGATGATCATGGTGATGACGGTTTACATAATATCTTAACATCCGCATCCGCATCCGCATCCGCGGATGTGAGCCCTCAAAACTCCGCATCCGCATTCGCATCCGCGGATGTGAAAAAATCAACATCCGCAACATCCCTGATAGAAATAGAGGATAGCCCGGTATAGTACATAGACTACTCATTGTTGTTTTTTTTAATTCCACGCGGACGGAGTCACGAGCGAAAGCTAGTTTCAAATAAATCATATTGTTGTAAAAATAACAAGTTTGAAGCTGGTGTCTATAGATGGCTCTGTTTACAATTAATAGATATCCTTGTGAAAATACCTTTATTACATCCTTACATCTATGAAAGCTATGTTAAAATGGCTATATGGTTAATATTATAGTTTCCATATATTTAGGTTATGTTCCGCGCGGTGTTTGATGTTCTGGCAAAGTTCTCGATACTGTATTTGTACTAAGTTTTGTGCGCCAATGTTAGTATGTTCGATAACATGCAATAAAACCAATATATCTTCATGCGGTAGTTTGAACGCATTTCCTATGCTATCTGAATCTCTAGAATAAACAAAATTTAACAGAAACTTCACTCTCGAATATCAAAAGCATGTTTGTTTGCTACAAGATCAAATAGGGTTTTATAATTAAAAAGATAGATATTATTGGAGTAAATTTCGTGATTTTAAAACTAAATCGTCTATGGAAAAAATCTGGTAAACTCATACGTCAAAATTACTTAAGTTTGTTGCGTTAAAATACGATCATTTGTGAAATTATATATGTCACGAATGAAAAAATACGATAATATCGCAAACGAAGTAAAGCTCTTAGAAAGATGCGTGATCGAGACAATAAATTTGTTTGCTGCTCGATTCATAGCAGGAATTGCTTTTTGACGGTAATTTATTATCAACTAAACCTGTCAGTACTTCGGATACCGAAATGCTGGCAGCATAACCGAAAAAGACTGCTATATAGTTTGTATTGCCATCCTTCATTCCCTTTGATAAAAAGAGACAGAACAAGAACATATAAAAATATGGTATCTCTAACATGTTTCTAATTTGTCCTAATTCTTTCCTCTCTCAATTTATTGTAGCTTGTCTTTTGTTAATAAAAAAATGGAAACTTTTACCGCACAAGAAACAAAAAATGTTTTAATCGTCAAAAACGCTTCCGCTCCCGCTAGCGCTTATCACAATAACCGCAGTCTTAGGCAGTGGAACTGCAGCGTAGGCCAGGACGGGCGGACTCCGATCGGCGCACGGCATTACACGTTGTGCTGCCGACTACGCTGCCCGCCTCGCCTCCAAGGTACGTTACACACTACACTTAGTAGCAGAATTTTGTACACATTTTTACAATTGCATAAAATTACACATCTAACTTAATGGTATAAAGCCATACATTTAAATAATATATTTTTTCATTAAATTATATATATATTTTTTGCGTAATTTTATTTTAAATTATTTTCTTTATTTGGATCTAAAATTTTTGTAGCATAGATAATAAATGTCTCTTAAAATTACTTCCTTAAACAACTTTAAATAAAAACATTTGCAAGTATTTATTACAAATATATTAACACATCATCATCCACTTGCCCTTATCTCTTACGGAGGGTTGGCACAGTATGTGCTGCTCTTCCATACATCTCTATCAGCCGTCAAATCTGAATTCACTCCTTTCTTAAGCATATCTTCTTTCACACAATCCATCCATACTTTCTTCGGTCTTCCTCTTCCTTTGTAGCCATCCACACTCAATCTCAACACTTTCTGGTTTATGTCCCCATCATTTCGTCGCATAACATGTCCATAACAAATATATTAACACATTTTCTAAATATTTTTGATTCAATTGTTTTTAAATAACATTATTTTTGTCAAGATATTGGAAATAAAAAAAAAATCGAAATTATTTTTAATATCTCTGCTATTTTAAATATATTTTAGGAAGACACAAAGCTTTTACCGTTCTGTTAAAAGCATTGTAGGGATTTAAAACTTTGTGTAACATGTCGATTTCTGTAGAGTGTTAAAAACTGAAAAGTTTGCAAGTTCGTCGTTACAC